TTTATACAAGTTGAAATGTCTAAAGAACATATATTTTGTATACCTATTATGATGTATGACAGAAATTTCAAGTTATAATGCGTGCGACTTTCATTTCTTCATTTGACCGACTTTTATTTTATTTCACTAAGATATGCTACTCTTTTGCCCTTTTAATTCTAAGGCGAATATCATGGTAACAACCCTGAAATGTCAAAGCTGCTCCATAAAGCTGTCCGCCAAAAGAGTGAAAGTGCTTACTCAATTTATCAACAACATTTGGTTAACCGGCCTGTGAATGTGAGTTGCCGAAATTAATATAATGATTTGATTCTACAGAAAGCTTTGTAAACTTGGCATGCTCATTTGACACTTTTGGTGCATTTTTATTGTCACTTCATCAGTTGATCAACAATCTTTGAATGCTTTTTATACTTGCCCTGATTGCAGGTTCTCAGGGATCTCCTCGAGTTTAAAAGTGATCGTTCCCCAATTCCAGTTGGAAGGGTAGAACCTGCTACATCTATTGTTCAGCGGTTTTGCACTGGTGGCATGTCGCTTGGAGCTATTTCCAGGGAAACTCACGAAGCGATTGCTATTGCCATGAATAGATTGGGTGGGAAATCTAATTCAGGAGAAGGGGGTGAGGTAGACAACTACGTTGGATCTGGATGGAATAATTCCAGTTCGACATTTTACAATACTTTTGATTCAAAATCTGAGTGCAAACAGGAACTCATCAATTGAGCCCACACTGACAAGCGTCTGAAAAGTCAACCAAATCCGTATTGAAATAATTATTAAAATTATGATATAGTAGCTGCCAATTAAACTTCATATATCACGATAATTTTATTATACTTTGCATCTTAGTAGGAAGGGATATAATTATATAATCTATGTGGATATGAATCTTCATCCATTTCATTTTGGCCTTCTAAACCGAATTCTTGATAGTATCCTGAAAATTAATGGCTTTTATTGTTAGATTTTAGAAAAGATAAGAAGAAAATTTCGAAGTTCGAATGTGATTAATTTCAGATAAATATTATCTCTCTCTCTCTATTTATTTATTTATTTATTTTTTATTTTTCACATGGCAAAGCTTATTGTGCTACATTTACTTTGTCGAAATTTCATCTTCATCCAGGATCCTATTCGCTGGAGTCCACTTACTGATGTTGTTGATGGGTACTCTCCAACATTGCCGCACCTTAAAGGTCTTCAAAATGGTGATACTGCAACGAGTGCCATCAAGCAGGTGCAAACACTATCCATTCATGGCATGTGTGGTGAGGAGGATTCAGTAGCACCTGAGCACTAAAGGACGAAAAACAAGCTAAAGTCTTGATTGTTATACCTTTCACTCTTGTCTAGTGCTACTTACCAAACATGCAGTCATCCTATACAAGCAAAATATTAATACTTGTGTACATTTAACTTGTATTATCAGTAACAAAAACCACCATGGTTACGGTTATTTAATTTGATCTTTCAGGTTGCTTCTGGGCGCTTTGGTGTTACTCCAACATTCTTGGCTAATGCTGATCAGCTAGAAATCAAAATTGCTCAAGGTGCAAAACCTGGTGAAGGCGGACAATTGCCAGGGAAAAAAGTTAGCGCTTATATTGCAAGACTAAGGAATTCAAAACCTGGTGTCCCTCTCATATCTCCACCTCCACACCATGACATTTATTCTATTGAGGATCTTGCTCAATTGATTTTTGACCTTCATCAGGTGAAGATACACAACATATTTGTACTTCTCTGTAAACGCCCGAAATTTTGTGATCACAGAACTATGAGATTGATATTTCTATTTAATGATAATGAACAGGTCAACCCTAAGGCCAAAGTATCAGTGAAGCTTGTGGCGGAAGCTGGCATTGGCACAGTGGCTTCTGGGGTAGCAAAGGGTAATGCTGATGTTATACAGGTATAAATAAAAAACGATCCTTCTTTTTGTCCAAAGTTAAAGAGTGCCAATAGCATGTTTGTCTAAGCTTAAAAAGGCTATTTATAAAGGAAATAAGTAATTTTGAAATAAATAATCATTTTTTCATTGATGAAAGTTGGGAATAAGTAAGTTAAGTTATCCGAAACATGATTGGAAACAAAAAATTTAGTTACTTTTACTATTTTTAAGCTAAGCAAAACATTTTTGGACCTCCATACGATTCAAAGCGTAAATTAAGTTTTTTGTTTGGCATCGTAAAGAAACTCTGGTATACTGTCTGTCATACATTTTTCAAATGCTATATTTATCTAGATTGTTTGATAGCATCATCATGAAATGTGAATCGCATGTAAACAATTGCATGTTGTAGAAAACATGGAATGTTATCCTTGTACGGTAGACAACAATTGTTACATGAAACCATCATTATATGGTAAATTCTTTTTAAAACTTTTCACTCCATTGTGGTATAAAATAGATTATCTTTCACTAATATTTTTGACCTGGTTGGCAGATATCTGGGCATGATGGGGGAACTGGAGCCAGCCCTGTGAGTTCCATTAAGCATGCTGGTGGTCCTTGGGAACTCGGGCTTACAGAAACACACCAGGTGGGCTTGATAATTTCAATATATGACTGCTTTCTTCTTTCCCATCCATCTTTATCTGAAATCAAATTAACATTTTTTTTCCTTTCTTTTTTTTTTTTGGGTCTGGGTGTTTTGCTATCATTTATAGACACTCATTTCAAATGGACTCAGAGAAAGAGTCATTCTCAGAGTTGATGGTGGCTTTAAAAGTGGATTTGATGTCCTAATGGCTGCGGCAATGGGTGCAGATGAGTATGGATTTGGTTCTGTAGCAATGATTGCCACAGGTTGTGTGATGGCTCGTATCTGCCACACGAATAATTGTCCTGTTGGTGTTGCCAGTCAGGTGATTAGGGTTCCTGCATAATACTTTGCCCTTTATGTTCACCTTGTGTATCGCCTAGAAATTTCTGATTTCTTTTATAATATTTAATAATATCTTCAATTTAATTTACTTCAGAGAGAGGAATTAAGAGCTCGTTTTCCTGGTCTACCTGGTGACCTGGTCAACTTCTTTTTATATGTTGCTGAAGAGGTAATGTGTATTTCTCCATATTCGAATTTTGTCACAAGATGCTTCAATCTAATCATGTTACAGGTTTCTTAGAGTTCCAATTCCTTTGCTTATAATGTTAATACAACACAGTAATACGCCCCCTTTTGGCCCCCATTTTGTGGAAATGAAAATGGGTGGAGTAGTGTTTTTTGAAAAAATGAGTGGTTGAAAAAGAAGGAAAAGTTTTCGGTTTACATGTAATATTATTTTATGGAAAATTGTGTGGTTGAAAATAGGAGAGAAAAATGAAATGTAATGAAA